GAATAATTATATTTTTAATTTGAAATTCTTATTTTTGCATTCAGTTGAGCTTAATCACAAATGAATAAAATAATAAGCTTCGCGATAGAATTCTAACTACTAGTATATGTTCAATAAAAACAATAAAGAGAGTGGGTAATTTTGAACAAGAGGTGAGGAAGGGGTAAAATAATATTATGGTGAGGTGGAGGTAATTTTTCTACACTGCTTTGTTCAAGAATATTGGTAGTTTACTAATGAAGTTGTCCTTTTTCTTCTTCAAATCAGCTGTTTTTCCCTTAGAATCAGCGGTGTGGCGCAGTAACGGCGATTTAGAGATGCAAGAATAAAAATAAAGCAAGTAAAAGAAATATAAAGGTGGTGAAAAGGTTTCTACAGTTTAAGAATAGTGGTAAAGGTAGTAAATAATATTAGAGATGGTGAGGTAAAGGTTGGGTTTCTCTTTTTACAAAGGTTAAAGAGTAAAATAGGTAGATTGTGCAATTTCGAATTTCCCAAGGTAAATAAATAAAACAAGAAAAATATTGAAGAAAACTATTAATATAGAAGTGTAGAATAAATAAGTAAGGTAAGGAAAATAGTAGAAAAGGTAGAGAGGAAATAAAATAAATTTTTTTAATAATTTCGTCCGTCGTTTGTTCGTCACCGGGTGCATTCTATGATATGATAATGAAGGTGTGATAATAAACTATTAAAATAGGGCGTGATAATTAAACGTCTGATCAAAAATTAACTACTATATAAGCTCGTGAACTACTATATAGACTCGCGAGTCACTATATGAGCTTGTGAGCCACTATAAGCTCGCGAGCAACTATATAAGCTCGCGAGCCACTATATAGGCTTGCGAGCCACTATAAGCTCGCGAGCCACTATATAAGCTCGCAAGCCACTATATAAGCTTGCGAGCCACTATATAAGCTTGCGAGCTGCTCGAGCTTTGAGAGCCAAGCCTTAGTTAGGCTTGGCTCGTGAATTTTTGGCTCACGAGCTTATGAGCCTATAATACTAGACTTGGCTCGGCTTGACTCGACTCGGCTCGTTGGGCTCGCGAGCTTTAATACTCATTCGGAGCTTTAATTTTTATCATGATAATTTTATTCTGTAACAACGTCAGAGAAGATATTAGAGATATTCATTACATTCATATCCCTTTATCACTTTTTTTGTTTTTTAACAACAAGTAGAGTAGTATAAAATAAATCTAATCAAAATATGTTGAAAATGTGGTATAAAAAATAAATCACGATACATTCAAGTGTGTTCTAAGATGTTTTTACAAGTCTAATTCAAAATTGTTTACAGATTTGAGCTTCTAGCAAGGTCAAGACACTAATGCCATGTGTGTGGGTTTTGTCCCAAGATTTCACTTTGGCATTGTGTCATGTTGCACTTCTAAAATACATTCTAGAATTCCACATAGTATATAAAAAGATTTTTTATCTTTTACTTAATTATTTTTTCTTGTCAAATAAATACAATTTCTTTTTCAATACATGTGTCATTATTATCCCTTTCTTCTACAAGTACAAATGATTCACTTTTTAATATATTGTTCTTTCTTCTCCATTCTTCACATCTAAATATGGTTCCTATTTTTTTATATCCATTTTTTCTTTAAAAAATACAATAATGCCTTTGTATAAATAGTCAATAAGAAAACTGATTCATTTAAAAAAAGAAAATAAAATAGGTTCTCCAGAAATTTTCACTGAAATCTCTTTATGTCTTCATTAGTTCAGTGGAAGCCTAATTTGAAGTTAACATCCTGAAGAAATACTACTCAAAAATATTTTATAATATCTTTGGAAATATATGAAAAATATTGATAATATGGAACTATACAGTTTTCATTATTTTTTTTCATATGAACTTAAGGAAGATTTTGATAAGTATGAAAAACTACAAAGGTAACATGGAAATGGCTTATTACGAAACACATTGGATGTGTGAGTTGGTATTTTTATTTAATAATTAATCAGCATCGTGTTTTGTTTTTATTTGTTAATTTATTGTTACAGTAAATCATATTAAATAATCACCAATAATCACATTTAATAATCACATCACATCATAGATTTCCGTCCATATGTTATTATTTATTTTAATTGACAATATAACTAATAACAAATAGATCGACACTTGCAAATTTTAATTTAAAAAGTTTTTCACATAGGCTTTAGTTATAATTCTGGTTAATCAGTAATATCTGAGGTACCTTTGATGAGACACAACATATACAAAAGATAGTTTCTGAGAATGTTAATATACAAAATTTAATTCTTAGCCATATAAATAATTCAGATATGCAATTTATTGTTATGGAAAAGAAAATCAAACAAGATATGGTTTGATTTTGAAGGTATTTTTTTTAAAAAAAAGGGTCAATCCAAAATTGTTGATTATGAAGTTTTCAAAGCCAGAAAGAAAACTATTTAGAAATTTATTCCTTAATATTTTATATATCTAATTATTATTCTGTTAATATCTATAAATATTTTTTCAAAAAAAAAATTTTCAATATACTTAACATTCAACTTAATCAGATAAGTGAAAATAAAACTAGCAAAAAGATTTGAGCATGTACAATTATACAAAGAAAATGGCTTGAGCATATGTATAGTCTGAGGATTTCATGGTTACTGAACTTGCTCAACATTATAAATTCTTGTGGGGTTCAAGAAGAGATATGTCAAGTTAACAATGTTTAATTACTATAATACATATATCTATTCATTTGATTTAATATAGTATATTAATTTATTTGAGATAAAAATAATCTAGATGTTCTTGAGGATTAACATTCTAGAAAAAACACATACCTTTAGACTCCTTCATCTCTCTTGATTTTCTTTTGAACATTTCTCATATTCGTGAAGGAACTCCTTTAGGCTGTAATTATACATGTTGCCAAATTATTTTTGGCATAGTAAAATGATTTGGAATTTTGAAAAATAGTTTGATAACATGTTGTTACTACCTGGAGAGCAAGCTTTACTAATTTATAGTGTGTTGATTAAATTATGTGAATGATTATAAATATTAAAGATAAAATATAAAATATAGAAAGAATTCAATTAAACAAGAATAATGTCAATTTATCTAAATAATTAACCAAAAGATATCAATAAACATAACTAATCAATAAATAAAATACTAAATCAAATCAAATAACTGAATCAATAATCAAAATACTAATTCAAATCAATAAAACTAAAATGATTAAAAAACCGAAAACAATCAAAAATCAATAAATCAAAATAAAAGAATAAAGGTGAATTTGGGTATACAGTGTTCCTTTGTTATTTCAGCAACACTTTAAGACAAAAGTATAAAGTAATTGTTATTTTTATTAAAATAAAAGAAATAGGAATTGTATGAACTTTACAAACTGACTTGGACAAGGTAATTTCTCTTGTCCTTATATACATGTTTCTTTCTAAGGTACAGGATTTTAATTAAGGCACTCAACATCTTGTAGAGTGCCTTCTTTAAGGTGTTCTTGATTAACGAATATGAGTACCTTAATTAGGGTGTAAGGGGATCAGGACTCTAACTGAGGTACTTAGGGTCCTAATCAATTAACATTTTCTATTTTAGCTATTCTAAAGTTAATAATTCTTATCACCATTTTAAGATGCTAATTTAATTAACTAATTGTACAAAAATAGAATAACTGCATAAATATATGTCAATTCTAAAACTATTACAATAATAAATAAATAATAATAAATAATGAAATATAACAAGAAATAATTATAAAAATCAATAATAAATAAAATAAAATAAACTTCTAACAATGTATACGTAGCTGTAACTAATTCTTTGTTCTAAAGGCGAATTTGGTGGGGAGTTGATAATCTGCAAAATTTCGCAGAATTCCGAGGGATTGGTTTGCGCAATTAGCGAGTGAGTAGAAATTAGTCATAACCTAACGGTTAAATATAAAAAAAAATATATAAATAAGAAATTTGTTTTTGGATTAATGATGGACCTGACTCTTGATTGTAAAGATACATCGCCAACGATGATAAACTTTTATTATGCAGAAATGCATCAAACTTATCTTTTTTATAAAAAAAATCCGATGTATTTACACTTTTTTTTTTTATATTATTATTATCAAAATAAAATAATAAAAAAACTCCAATTATTTCATTGATCAATTAAACCAATATCTATCTTGCGTAAGAAAAAATTTCTTTTTTCGCAAAGAAATTGCTAGGAAAGAAATAAAAAGAAATTTGTTATTTTTTTAACTTATTTCATCAATTTATCAAAAATCATTTTTTTATCTTCAATATAAATACCAATAAAAATAGCACAAACGATTTCCTATGTTGTTTCCACTATTATGTCAAGTCATAAGGTTTCCTCGATTTGCAGCCTTTTTCTTTCCTAAGCTAATTTCCACAAATACTAAGATTAGGGACAAATCGGCATTAGAGTTCATACAAGATGAAGTTAAACTGCTGAGAGTGAATTTCCAGCCAGCTTCTTTCGAGGATGTTATCCTGCCACCAAGGGTAGTGGTTGTTTTGTCTTGCCGTAATTAAAACGACAATTAATTCACATATCGTACAGTTACAGTCCCGAAAGAATATCTTCCCGAATTCAGCCGCAGTGTGATGTCACAAACTTAGATTTTCACGTTGACAAGCTTTATAAAGTTTCGAAAAATAAAGTCAAAACGTTCCTTGATAAAATGCATGATGTTGTTCCGGCTTAGGGGAAATACAAATTGCTGTACAGATTGTTGCTTGCTCAGATGAGAACATAGTGCCACTGATGATGAGGTTTTCATTGATCAGATCATATTTGCTATCTCAACATACGTGACATTTTACAAATGCAGAATATGAACTTGGTTGTGATTTACCGGATAAGACAACAGTTAATTTTAAAAGATGGTCCGGAAGGAATGGTAAATGGAATGATGTTGATTTAGCAGAACCAAGCGGGAGATGAGAAGTTCTGAATGCATTAGCCAAAATTCGCTAATTTATTCTGCGGCTGGTGCACATAGACAGAATGTTAAAATTTTAAAAATTTGATTGGCGAAAAATTGGAAACAGGTGCACCATAGTAACGGGTTAGTGAAATATGCCATAAAATAATGAAAAAATAATGCTTTTGAAATCTTTGATATCTTATTAAATGTACGAAAAAAATTACTATACATATCAACTATTATGGAGCATTTAAATTTATTCAATGAGACCCAATTCATGAAGATGTTCTGGAATAACAATACCAAACTTCTTCTAAGACAATCCAATTTCTTTGATACCTTGCTTGTTTGATGAAATTATTTGGTTCCCTATGAAAGAATTCGATATACTTTTCATGTTGTAGCCTTTGGATTTCTACAGCCACATCATAATTATATCAGGGAATATCAAGATGGATGTTCTAATGTTTTTAAGAAATCAGGCTAGCGATTTTCTGATGGTGGACCAAGATATTTTGATACAATTTTATGACACAATTCTTCACGTTATATTTAGAACAATATGGATACCATGTTCCATTTTTCATATTTCTAAATCGAGCCTTTAATACACTGTCACTGTAATGGAGTTAAGAGTTAATACATTTTTCAGAAAGTCTTTATTAAATGCGTACTGCATGACATATTTGAAAGTGTAAGGTTTTCTATGAGAGCATTCAGGACACCATGATCCACTACTTTTAATCTTGTCAAATGAAGCAAGCCATTCATGACCTTTAATACGACGCCGCTATCGTAAGTGTCATTATTAATATATTTTCCAGGAAGGCAACTCTCATTTCTGCATCGAGCCACTTGTCTAGCATTTTCAATTGTAAAACATGCATTTCCTGCACAATACCCTATGATCCATTATTTAATTTGAACAAGTGAAGCGGTCCATTCGTGCTTTTTTTCACATTGCCATTTTAATTTTATATGTGCACCGTTATACTTTTCAGAAAGACATAATCCATTATTTTGTGTTGCAATTTTTCTCGCTTCTTCGATGGAAAGTTTTGCATTACCTGCACAATATGAACACCAAGTATCCAAATTTCTTACACATGCAAGACTTGAACTCCATTTATGTCCTTTACTACACTCCCACAAAAGTGGAGATGTAAGGTTAATATATTTTTTAAACAAACATTTCCCACTTTTGTGGCTAGCAATTTCATTGACAAGTTCAAGATTACACGAATATGAGTCTGAACAATAAGGGCACCATGTACTGCGATATTTTTACAGGATTGAGCGATGTATACCATATATGATTATGAGCACATTAATGGAGATTTACAACTGATATAAACATCGGATAAACAATCACCACCTCGGGACTTAGAAATATCAAGATTAAGTTTGCGATTAAATCTCGCGCATTTTGGACACCACAATCCTTTTTGCACATTTAGTAGAGACGCAGACCATTCATGATTTTCTGCACATTTAAAATGCAGTTGTAAAGAATTATTGATATATTGTAAGGAAAGGCAACTGCCTCCCCGTTCACATGTTATTTTCCTAGCCTTTTCTAGAAATTGTATTTTATAACTATCTTTCCACCGTCGACATTTTGGACACCATGTACCTCTCTTTATATCACATAAAGGCGCATCCCATTTATGACCATTAGCACATTTTCACTGTAAATACTTTTTATTATTAATGAAAACCTCTGAAAGGCATTGCCCGCCTCGATTTTCAACAATTGCGCAAGTGTCAGCCAAAGTCAATCGGAATCGCATTTTTTAGGAATGTTTCTAGTTTACCCACTATTGTTTAAAATGCTTCGTGGAGATGTTTCTGGTTCGCAGATTAAATGCACCAATTCTTCACATAAACCTCCGCTTTGATGTAAATTCATTACCCTCTAAGTATATAAAACTAGCTCATTTTTCGTTACAATTTTCAAAATTTTATAACTTTGGAAATTTCACATTATACTAGGTAATTATTTTGTGCTACTAATAGGCGAATCGTTGATGATTTAATTAAGTAAAAAAAAAAATTCCTCATTAGGAAATTTAATGAATTAGCAATTAAATCAATTTAACCAATTGAAAGTTGCATTTTGTAACTCTATGGCATCATTTGATTAGCTAGAGATGAATTTTAAAGATAATATACAATTAGACCTATTTTTTATTATTAAAAAAAAATTTTGAATGTATGTTAGGTATATTAAATATTTTTTTAGTTCTAAAGAAATAAAACTTTCCTAAACGAAAAGATATTTATTATTTCACTATACTAATATATTTTACACTAAATATTTTAGAAATGCATTATTTTTTTTTTGTTAGTTTAGTTTAGCCATATCAATAACGAAACATTTAGTGGCCCGACCGGACATCCACTTATCAGCAAACTGACAATCCGCGGGTATCAATTGCTATCCGGTAAATCCTTTAGTTTTATAAACGAATTTATAATGGATAAAATTTTGTATTTTCTTGTTCTTGCATTCATACTCCGCTTTCTTTAGCCAAAATTTAAAGATTTCTAGCCTTTTGGACATTGATAACGGATATCTGCAAGTATCCACATATCCGTAATTTCTAATCCATTACCTAAAATTGATATCCGTATAATTGGTGGCACAATTTATGATCATGCGGTTGTCACCAATTAAAAGGGATGCTATATTAAGACATCACGATGTAATTATTGACAAAAAAAGAAACAAAGCAAAATTACAAATACAAATGCAAAGCAAAAATAATGAAAAATACAAATATGACCATAAAAATAAATCTCCAGATCAGGTAAAAAGCAGGTTATTGACTAAAGAAGAAACAATGTCATTGTAATTAATAAAAGAACTTAAAAATTTCTTGAAAAATTTGAATTCAGAAAATAAATTAATAAAATACAAAATACGTACATTTTTATCGATAACTATCAAATACTTTAATACCACCTTTCTTAAATAACTATCAAATACTTTAAATATAAATCCTAAAATTCGTACGTAAACACGCGAACACGAAATTCATTATGACCAAAAAAAACGAGCCCATTGCATTCTCTTCAAAAATCATTGATTCGTTAAAATCCTATACGTTGCGTCATCTGGAAAATGAAACTAATACCAAAATTTTTATCGATTACGAAAGTTTAAATATTACTATCCGACCCAAAAACTCTAAATCGGATATTGGTACAGCTAGATATCAAATTGAAGAGATGCTCAAAATTTATTATCGTCGTAAATATGAAAATTCGATTGCTCTGAGACGTGAGAAAAATCGTGAGCAGAGGGAGATTAGGCAGTTGATTGACCGGAGTATTGAAAATTATAAAGATATTATATATTAGAAATATTACATATATTATATATTATACATTATATATTATGAATATTACATATATTATATTACACATATTATACATGTTACACATATTACATTTATTACATACTGTATATTTTACTATGTAAAATTCACATAAGATAAAATAACGAATCAAATAATTCTAATAAATAGAAAAATGATTTAAACCACAAAAGAAAAAGCCAAGATAATAATTTTTTATTTTTATTTTTTTTAAAAAAAAATATTAATATTATCATTTAATGTAAAGATTAAAAATCTCAGACTTGTAGTAATGAATTTCAGACACTGAATGTCAATGAACAATTTTTTTAAAAAAAATAGCCGAGTTTCTTTTTTCTATTTTCTACTTTTTAATATAAAAAAATTTTAAGCACTCATATTATTATCATTTCCTGACTGCGTTAAGAAATCTACGAAATAGGTACAGGTCACGATCAACGTAGAAAACGCACATCTCAAATTCCACACTCTTCTAAATATTTTTTCTTATAAACCTATGAATTGACAGTTGTAATTACAAAAATAGAAAACGCCAAAATATACCATCCTAATAGTGTCCAGAAAGAATAACGAATGAAAATACATGTACCTATAAAATTATTTAAATCCCATACTTCAAATCAAGTTACCTTAAAAAATACTTAAGAAATTAGTTCTAAATTTTTAAAAGAGAAAATATTAAATATATCCATATAACCAAATATTATTTATAATAAAATGTATTTATTTCAAACTTTATTATTTATATAAAACAATTACAGCAAATTTTAAATGTAGAAATAAGTATGTCTCACTAATTTTGGATATAACCCAAAATCCAATAACAGAAGAATATGCGATATATGGAAAATGAAAATTTGAGAGATTTTTTGAATACACCTTGGATTGAATAATTGTGATTATTGGAATCTTTTATTAGAGGATTTAAGTATGGTATGATGAATAAGGATTTATTCTTTCATTCAAACTATACAAATTATTTTTCAAAAAAACCAAATTCCAAATTATTTATATAGTCCCAAATGTCAAATCCCAAATTCTGAGTAATTTGGACAACATATATATTCTAAATTTGGTTTCATAAAGGGTATCTCCTTGTCACTTGTAACAAAGTATTGGATTCCCAAGTTGATGGTTCTACATTATTCTTTTTCAATCCTTCTTTTATTATGTTATTATTTGTATCACTAGTCAAATACAAAATAATCGCTGTACCGAATGGTGATTCCTATACTATAGATCAGCTAAAAATCGGTAACAATCGACTGTCCTATTGCATCCTATATTATAAATCAGCTAAAATCGGAATTCTTTTCGGTACGGCGTATCTTTTGTATTTGACCTGTGTATTATTTATATCTTTTCACTATTCCTCTTTTTTGAATAATGTTTTCCAGTTTTGGTCAATCACTTCTAGGAGGATACGTTTTGATGTCACAGGCATACATTATATATGTTATCAAAACTATTGAATTTAGTCAGATGCAATAAAATTACAAAAAATTGGAATTGATTCATATGAAAATGGATGTAATCACATAGTAGCAATTAAATTTCAGTAATTGAGTTAAAGGCTTTTTACTTTTGACAACATGTATAGTATACATATTACTCAAATTATTTTTTCAAAATTCCAAATTCAAATTACTATTAAATTATTATATTATGCCAAAATTAATTTGGGTTATAGGTAAAGTGTAGAGTTAGATAGCTTCCTCCATCAAAAAGTACTTGCTATAATTGTGAAATTTTTTGTACCTCTTATGGTGTTAAAGTTTATCATAAAGTTTCTTCAGGATATGCAAGAGGTTTATCTGTAGAATTTTTTTTGTCTTTTGTCATGATAATCCCAATTATTTAAAAATTCTTCGCAATATATATTAATCAAATGACAAAAATCAGAATCCTACTGATGGCGCAAATCAATCTTCCTATTTATGAAAATTCATGAAACAGAAATTCCTACTTATGAATCAACTGCCTGCACTTAATAAATCTTCACCATCCTATTTTTTTTTCATTTAACTAGTGGTAGACTGATTTATAATTTCAGTGGTCATACTTCAAAACACACAACCATTGTAGCATATGTGTTTTATTAGGATAATCCTTTGTAAGTCATTCGTGCTATTTTAATTTTCTTGTCTATTTAATATTTCATTTTATATTCTTTAGATATGCTATAGCCAGACATTATCAGTATGGGGAGTATGGGGCACGCTACTCAAAAAATATACATGTCTTTGTTACCCTTTGTTTAAAGTTTTATAAATTTGTGCTTTTTGATTAAGAAAACAGTTGCTTTAATTTTGTTAAGCTTCAAAGTTAAAAAAAAAAAACATAATCCCTCTGGTCAAACCAGTTTAGTTCATCTTTTATTTCATATTTTCGTATAATAGACTTCTTTTTATAATGAAATATCTATTAGAAGGGTGTTCCAAGTTAGGGAAAACTGATACAATATCGACATCAGTTATATTGAATACTATGGGTAGGAGTGACAATACTTCCTTGGCTAGGCTATAAAGAATACCTTAATTTCATAAATAGTAGTCTATACCAGAAGATATTTTTGTTCTCTTGTGTGCTTTTCCTTTGATCAAAAGATCTAATTTATGGTTTCAACAATCATGACAAATATAAAATGATTCTTGATTTTTAGTTATCCCGTAGGGTGGTAAGGGAGAAAATTGTCAATCAATTCATCTAATGATTTGGGTTAAAGGGTAGGGTTTAAAAGGTTTAGGATGTTTGGGATCAAATGGGCAAAGATTTTTTGTTTTGGGTTTGTTTAATTAAGTTTAGGGCTATTGCTTTATAAAGAAAAATTAAAATTAATTAAAAATTGTAATTGAGCTCCATTGTTGGCATCACATGTGTATCGGCCGAATCGGCCAATGAATAGTTTTGTTTATTTTTAAATAAAAGTATCGTCGGTACCTTGCAACTATTGATTTGTTTTGTTGTTGGTTTGGTCTTAAATAAAGTTGTCATAAGGAAGTATTAATGAAAACTATTGTGGTTTAGATGATCAGCAGATCTTCCTTTTTCTTAAATTTTTTTTGAATTTTTTCTCAAATGGATTTTTATTCATCATCAAAATTTTAAAAAAAATAATAATGGACTTTCTTTACCATCATTAGTCCATCCATCAAAAGTTAATACTAGATTAAATAAATGAATAAATAGGATAAATAGAGAGCCGTAAACTGCTCAAAAAGAAGCCTAAATCACTATTTAAAATGTCATATAGAGAAATACGTAAAGACTCTTGAGAAACCTTCAGTGGACAAACGCTGTATAATGCGCCTAAGGTAGATTAGAGAAGATTCTTGAAAAATTGGTGAAAGCAAATAGATAGAATAAAGTTATATGAAATTTGAGAATGGTTTGAAAAACTAAAAAGTAGATATGATTGAAGGAAAAGTAATGTGTGTAAGTAGTTCTTATTCTTTGGATTAATGGTTAACATATCAACCATTGGATTGGGTTGTTTGGTGTGAACTTTTTTTTAAACTAAAATAACTTTTAAAACCATAAAAAAAAATAATTTATAAAAGGAATAATAATAAATTAAGAAATAATAAATATAACGAGTTACGTTTTTTGTATGTTAAATGATAGAGAAAAATGATTTCATTCATCTTGTAAAGAAACTCGTGAGAAATAAAAAATATGAATATACAGTATTTATAAATAATATATAAAATTGAAAAAAGTCCTAGTTTTTGTTTATTAATTAATTAATTATATCAGCTTGTCGGTCCACTAACGCGTTTTTACAATTATTAAAAATTGAAAATAAATAAGGATCTTTCTGTAGGGGATAAAAATTAATATTTTTTTTTATAATAATAATCCAAAGATATTAATAATAATGTGAAAAAAAATATGGCTAGTGAAAAAAGTCAAGGGAAAACGCGACACATGCCTATTTATATTTAAAATCATTTATGCACAATCGACAACAACAAAAGATATTTATTATTTTTCCCCAAAAAAAAATAAGGGGTAAGTGCAAAAGAAAAAACGTGTAGTTGATTATAAAAACTGAAGATTTTGATTTTGGTCGTAAAAAAAAAAAAATTCCAACCATTGATCTATCTAATTTTTTTGGGGGGAGTTGTAAAGGATTAATATTTCAAGAAGACTGAAAAGGCAGAATTTTGTTGTTCTGTTGTTCTATCCTTTTTCCTATAGATTATTTAAATTATTTCGTGTCTCAAAAATCAAATTATTTTTAATTGGTTGTATTTTCGTTTCATATTTTTTTTATCGGAACTTTCTAACTAAAGTATTCTGTATAAATCTTTCTCAATTAAATTTATTTTATTCTATACATTTATTACATTTATTACATTTATTATTATTATCATTATTATCATTCATCCATTTCCACGTTTTCTGATTTAATTCATATTCGGATCCATCTACCTTTACGTATTATTACATATTTTGCGTGTAAGAACCATAATAATTATGTCATTTATATTTCACCTATTATCATCGAAAGTTTCGATCTTGTTTTAATTTTAAACTCTCTATTTTAATTTTTATTTATTTTTAATTTTTTAATTAATTAATTTTTATTTAATTATTTTTTTATTTAATTTTGAATTATAATTTATTTAATTCTTTATTTCTAATGTGTGTTTATACAATTAATCTTGAAGTTTCCGCTTAATTTTTTTCTTTTTAATTGATCCAATTAATCTCCTCCTAATTAATAATAATAATAAATAACATTCGAATTACATTTTATTGTTCTTGGGTCCACTCAATCATTCCAACAACTATTTATATAGAACTACTCTTTAATATTCTTGATAATATCTTTAGTATAGAACTGTTACTACCCTTAATTGCCTCTGGTTCAACGACTACATCACTATTATTATTTAGCATTTATATTTTTATATCTTTCACTTTAATTTTGGACACTTAAAATTTTTTATAACTTTTACCTTAAACCTGAACACTAGAAATTTTATACATTTATTTTACCAGAAAATACACTTTACCAAACCCAATTTACCAGAACAAGATTTATTGTCCCTTATTACACCTTTGTTAGATTGACCGAAGGAGAGCTAGAAAAATGAAATTGCATATTTAATATTTAATCTTAATCAAACAAAAAACCAAGAAAATACATTTATAATTTCTTTTAGATATAAAAATACTTACACTTTATTACACTTTTATTATACTTCATTAAATTATTTTATTTTCCCATTCAACTTATTACCTTCTTTTAAAACCAAACAAAAGAAGAATAAAAATAAATGTAAATTAAAAAAATTCAAGCAGTCCCTGAAAAATATATAATTTCATTTGCAAACAAATATATAACCAATAAAAACGATATAGTGGTATGCGGAAGGATGACATAGAAAGTATAATAACAATTTTTGATGCCTAATACTTTAAGGCTTCAAAGTTCAAGATTATAAGGGAAAAGAGATGGAAAAGATAATTCAAAAAAAAAATATCGAAAGGACATTAATATAGATGCAAAATTATATAATTGTATTTCCTCATTCACTAATTTTTGCACTTAAAAGAAGGATTAAATAAATAGATAGATAAAACGGGGATTGTGAAAAAAAAAAAGTTCGCGGAAGGTTTCTTGAGGAAGACATTCCAAATTTATTTCAAATTATAAATAAATAAATCATTATGCCAAATAGATCATTTTAGTATAGTAGTAGTTATTTTAGTTTAGTTATAGTTTCACAAAAATCTTTTTTTAGAGTCAGAATTTTCAAATAAATGCGAGGACCTTTCAGAAATAAATGAAAAAAAAAAAATAAAATGAGAACTTTTCATTTATTTGGATTTCAAAGAAATAGTTTTAATTAATTTTAATTAAATTATTATTATTACTTTAATATTACAAACATCAAGATCTTCAACCAGTTCAGGAGGTCTGTAACAAAGGTTAATCATCCCTTACTTTTTTTCATCTTCAGCCTTCAAAATGTGATGACAAAAACAGTCCTACTTTTCTTATAACATAAAATAGTATTATATTAAAGAAATTCAAATCCTATAAAAGATTATATAAAATAATAGGTGTTACAGAAAAACTTTATAGTTCTTACACTTGACTTTCACTTTCTATTAGATAGAATTATATCAATAATAAAGTCCAGTTTTTATAGAACCCTAAACATAAAAATGTGATCGCAAAGGATCTAGTGAAAATATTAATTTTTAACATTTAAATGGATGATTGGAAAATGATTGAAGACAAGATTGAATTGAAATCCAAAAACTCGATGAAATCTCTAAATATCCAATTTTTTTATACTTTAAGATATTTTCTAATTCCATTATATAATTTCAAAATATCCAAATTCCACATTTTTTTGAAATGATAATATCTATATATTATTATTATTAGATTATAATATTAAAATTTAAACGATATCAAAAAAATACAAAATGAAAAAACAACTCATACTTGTCTCCTCAATCACAAATTAATGTATTATAGTTATTTAGTGGAGTTGCATGCCGCAGATTTTTTCAAGGGGAATAAAATTAGGCAAACTAAGTAATTAATTATTATCGGGTTAATATATCTTTGACCGTCACCAAATATTTGACTAAGAAACTTAGATTAGTATACCTAAATAATAAATACTTTGTATTTTTTAATTAAGTATACTTTCATAATTATTGGTCAAAAAAAGAAAATACATCTAGACAACATCTGAGCAACTTAAAAATATATCCTATCAGATGTGGCAAACTCAAAAAATACTTTATTATAAGAACAACAACTAATGTTACTACAAGTTTATTGATTTCAACACAAATATTTAAAAAGAATAATTTATTATTGATAGTGTTGTTATTGACTTAAGTTGTATTACTAGTTGGTATTGATTACTTACTACAAATTGCTTGATGAAAATTAAAAAAAAAAAAGAAAAAAGATTTGAATTTATATAGAATTATAAAACAAAAGCTCATGGATATTAAAAAGTATACAAACTGGTTGAGTCACTGAAAAATTGATCAAGTCATAATAGCAAGTTGCTACAAGTGTAGATATATTTATGCATAGTGTCAATTGCTACAAAAATTTTATTTATGTTTCAAAAGACCAAGTATATTGAAATTTATAATAGAATTAAACAAAGGAAAAAATATTTCCACAACACATACTGATAGTAACAATACACAGATGTGTTACTCAATTCACTGGGTGACATTGATGTTATAGCATTAAATAGCCATTGATATAATTCATAGCGTGAGATGCTTTAAATTTATAGAAGATTTTTTACATAGTATGAGTAATTATGAGTTTATTATGTGCACTCCCCCATCACATAGCATGAGTTTCTATAAGATTAATTCAATAAAATTTTTACGTTTTAAAAACGAAGCAAAAAAGTAAAGTTTCTCCTGCTAATGGTTGGAGGAAAGCTTCAATTAAGCAAGTTCTGGAGCTCAATATCGTTTTTAAAGCCCAGCGACGTAAGCAGCTACAACAAAAATATTGCATAATTAATTTTATCACTTAATTAAAATTAATTATTCAATTTACTATTACACTATATTATTATTATTATTACACTTTAATTTTTCTATATTATTGTTACACTAGAATATATTAAAAAACTATATTAATATAATTTAGTGATTAATAGTCAAAGTTGAGATAGTTTATCTCGATTGTTCAAGTTGGCATTAGATTAAGTAGAATTCATTATCAATATTTTTTGATATCATTCAATGAAAATTAAAAAGAATACAATAGAAATAAAGTTTTATTACTTAGTATTAAGCATCAACATAAACGCAAGCTTGATCAAATGATTCAAATTTAAGTTATTAGTTATTAGTGAGGCAACAGTAGATGAATAATGTTATGTAGGTTTTATATTTAAAATCCAATTGATCCACAAAACTCAATACAATGAGAATATTCAATACTTATGACAACAAGAATATTGAATATTTCTGCTGTCTATAAATTAATGTCTTGACAAATATATTATTTACTTAATAATACACCCAAAAAATTTGTAGTTCGATTTCAAATAAAATATTCAATTTTATACAATTAATTTAATCAATATTATCACTCTAGAAGATGGGGAAATAAAAAATTGGAAAGATGATAAAAAGTTCTTTTATTATTAAAAAAAATATATAAATATTTGGTATTCCAGAAAACTTCAAGAATAATAGGAACAATAAACATAAGCGTAATCTTCTGGGATACCTAAAAGATTATGAAGTATACGGATAAAAAAATGTAGAGAAAAATATTAGAAATATGATAATAATATTATTCATGACATTTTATCTTTATTAATATAATTTAAAGTAGAAAACAAGAGGAAAAGGCAAGGACATGCATTCATAAAAATGGTTATTTATTTCATTTGAATAATTAATAATTTTTAATAATAATAATTTTAATGTTTCGATCATTTGTACACATCGTCAAAAATAATTAAAGCAAGAAGTACAAATAACAACAATTTCTATTCCAAGAGGCGATGAAATCATATTAAATTATTTAAGAATTTTAAAACTGTAATGTGTACAACCTACACTTTATAAAAACAAAGAAATCTAACAAAATACCATTTTCATTTAATTGCAACATTCAGATGTGATTGATGGTGATGAAAAGACCAGAAAAAATGAATTAGTTTCGTACGACAAGAATCTTTGCTATATTTTTTACTGTTTCCTTCTTTTAAAAAATTGCTAAAATTAATTAAAAAATGGTTTTTAATAGTAGAATTATTCATTTCCACTTGGCATTGGAAACCTTTGTAAAATAGATGGAAAGTTGGATGGTAAACTTTTATTATTAACACTAATCCAAAAACAACTAAAGGGTTATTACATGGAGGAAATAAAATATGGGGATATGAGAACACAGGAAAGGAGGTTTAATTATAAGATAAACTCACTTGAGGGGATTTTTGGGAACTCTTTCTTGGTATAATTTTGCTAAGAAAGAAATCATTTTTCAAAAATGAAATTTTAAGATTCATAGATCTTATTGGCATGGTTTAAAGAATTCCTTTTTTCTCACACAACATACTCTTACTCAAAGATCAATCATTCTAATATGAGTTAATTCTTAAAAGTATTAATAAGAATTATTACTACTTCAACTATTAAAATAAGCAAAAAAAAATAATAATCAAACATTGAATATTATAGTATTAAACTTTTTTTTTGAAAAGAAAAAAAAGTTATTTTACATTAGTAGTTTTTTATGGATTTTATAAAAGATTTCAAGTAAAACACTCTCTAATTGTTAATTGTACAGTTATGCATATGCATATTATAATTTTCAAGTAAAATTAATTTTGTACAAATATACAATGTGGGAAATTTTTTGATGAGAGAAAAAGTAAAGATATTCAGTGTGGATACTATGGGCATTTAGTAAAAAATCGTAAAAATTTATATGAAAAAATTGAAGATTCTTGTTTAAGATGTTTCAGTAAAGAGCATCAAGTTGTTCAATGTCCACAAAAAAACCAATTACCATGTGAAATCCTAAATTCAGAAGGTGAAATGAATAGCATCACGTAGGAGTAGGCTAGGAGAAAAGAAATTAATGTGCAAATAAATGGAAAAAATTGGTGGGACAGTTGTTATTTTAATAATTAACGTTCTTCTCTCAGTTTCATTATAAACCTTAAATCTTATCTTAAAATGTCTACTTCTTGCAAAAGAAAAGAACATACTACATTTTTCCACTACTTATTTAGATTCAATTTACTAATAAATAATAATTCCTCACATTAGAAGTATAATAATTTCAATCCAAGTAAAATTATACTACATTTTTTTCAACTACTTATTTTGATTCGATTCATTAATAATAAAAACAGTAGGACAGTCATTATATTACTAAATATATTTTTTTCACTACTTATTTTTATTCATCGATAATAAAAACAAAGTATCTCTCAACAACAAATAGATATTTCTGACTAAAAATTTATTTATTTCTTTAAAGTCATGAAATTATTCCTTATTCCATTTTTTGATCTTAAATTAATTACACAATTTATGAATTTATCAAATGATCTCAAACAAACCTTCGAACAATAATCTCTCGAAGAAGATATTGCACATGCGGTTCACTTATTTGAACACTTAATTAAATTCATCCACACTTGGTACAAAATACAAAGCTCTCCTTGACATGAAATGTCACTTCCTTAAAGTCAAAAGATATGATGCAAAAAATAGCTAATAATCAAATTTTATTTATATTAAATGTTAAATCTTATCAGATATATAAAAAATCAATCAAGGGTCAATATTACTTCAACCTAGATAATGAAATAACCACCCTCGGAGACAACTGCAAAAAAGAGAATAGAATATGAAGAAGATAGTATTAATTAAGAGAGAATATAATTTGAATTTGAATTTTGATATTATAAAATAATAAGAAATTTAAATTTAAATTAGCATTTAGTTCCCAATTCAAATATGCATGCCTACCATGCAGTAACATGGAAGGCATGGCGTGAACAAATTAAAAAGAACTATATCGTGCAGTTGTAAAAATTCATTGTTGACTTACCAAGAAAATAAAAATCAAAAATCAACTGATCGAAAGGGAGCTCATTTATCTAATTTAATAAATCCTAAAGGATATACAAACATGTAAGTAATTGTAATAAGTAATGGTATAGAAGCTGATGTATGTAAACAGAAGAAACACGAAAATGAAAAGTTATATGAAGGTCTAAGAGTTTACAATTATGACAAATTGAAGCAAAATAGAATGAATAGTTTCTCTTATTATTATTATCATAAGTGTATCATTTAATAATAATATACATATTTATTTAATTTCTATAATTCACTATTTATTTTAATTCAACCAAACATAAAAAACCCTGGAGAAGTTACAAAACAAAAAGTGAAAAAAATAAAAAAAAAAATGAAAAATTATAATAATGAAATAAGTGAATGGAGTGACATAAAATGAGATAATAACTAAAAAAAAAAATAAACAATAGATGAAGATTGAAAAAATTATATCAAAACTCCAATAATTATTACTCTCTTACTTGAGAATTATTCTATTCATATAATTTATATAAATTAACACAGAGATTTCTTGTCTCGACTTTACTGATGAGGAAAAAGTCACCCCGGTCCTTTTTCAGTAATAACACAACTCAGAAGAATAAATCTGTGCTCCAGACAAGAAAAATTTGATAAGAAAAAAGTGAAATTAAAGAAAAATTATATGAAGGAAATGCTAATTATTGGAAGGAAGCAAAAAATTCAAAATAACTTTAATTTACATAATCTATCTCTTTAAACTTTGGCAAATGCAAAATGTTGAGGAATGATTTAAATCTCCCAAGAGGATTTTATGTAAAGGATGGCCCATATTTAGTTACAGATCGAGCAAATTAAAAAAAAAAGCTCTAGAAAGCAATTAAATGATTCATAAATTTATTCGCCTACAAAAGCTTAATGTTATTAGAAGCAATAGCAAAATTTCTTATTCTCTTGAGAAAGAGAAAACTATAATTTTAATTGATAATATTCAAATTTTATCTGAAATTCTTGAACCCCAATTAATGACATGTTAAAATGTATTTTAGTCACTTCCTTAAGTATAAAAATCTAAGAGCTTCTCCAAATTAATGGAGATGTTTGGTGTCAATGATGATAACCCAATTAAAGCAATGCACACTGGTACTATTCTAAATGAAAATAATTATAGTTATGGTTTATATTCTAACAATAATTTTAGTATTTACACTTTAGATAAAATACATTTTATATTAATAAAAACAATGCCAATACAATATGAAATCCAAAAATATTGGGATCTATTACCATAGGCAAACTTTTTTTAAACAAAAGAAATCAAAGCTTGAAAAATTTATTAATTTAAAAAACTTTCCCATTTTTGATAATTTTGTTTTCTTTTATTATGGAGCACTCTAAAGTTTGCATTTTAAAAATCCGGTCATTAATCTCATATTTACAATAGATTTTCTTTTGAATATTAATTTGGAATAAATCATTTATCACTTGTCTCATGGCTTAAAAATCAAAAATATAGAGCATTCAGAGCTAAATTGACAAGCTTTAATTGAACAATATGAATAAGATTATATGTAGAATACTTATATTGGTTGTCCTATAATTAATTACACCTAATTAATATATTCTATCTGAATAAGGATGAATAAAACATGGATTTCATGAGAAAAGAATGAAACAGAAATCAAATATGATTACTCTCAATTAGAATAATCTTATCTTATTACATAATTATGAGATCAATATCTAATTCATAGAAGCGGAAATCTACCAGTATAATAAAGTTCTACCTAATGAAGAAATGGATTTTTTTTTTAATATTTTTAAATCTGCTAAGAATATTACCATAATCAATGCAACAATTATAAGCAATAGCAGTATACATACCTTTTAAAAATGGAGTAGTCATATAATAATCTTTTAGAAATTCAAATAAATGGTGATGCTGCTCAAATCTACAAATAGATTGAGCAGCATATGTGCTTTGTTCAAATCAAATTAAAAAAAATTGATTATATACTATGAAGAAAAAGAATTATGTGCAGATTAAACTGTTGTAAATACTCTACAAATTATTATAAATATACTTGATATGTATTCAAGTTTATTGTGAATGATTGATGATTAACAAGTTAAAATAGTTATATGTTTTTTGTGACGTTAACTAATTAAAAATAAAAAAAATTAAAATGAGAAAAAAAATTAAATTACAAACATTAAGCACAGTAAATAAATTTTTGATTTTGATTCAAGGAAAATTATCCCATCAAAGTTCCAATCCCTATTTCACCCAACAAGATAATGCATATGATTATTTTAATAATGGGCATCCACATTCACTGGAAAATAATAATTGAAAAAGTACACCTTGCACTCCATTATAAACTAGATCTATAAGTAATCCCAGAAAAGAACAAGAACATTGCATCAAAAATAATCAAGGTGGAATTCTGCCAACAATTGAACTGCAGATACAGTAATCATTTCAATAACAAAAAAGTTCCATAGTTATTTGCTCTTTTAATTATTTAAAAACTTAGGAATAATTTGTTTATTCCTAAAATTTACTTTAGTTTGATCTTTACTAAATAAGTGCAGATGGGGCAAATCATAAAATACATTAATTTAAAGTGTATGTATACATTATACAAAAAAATTGAATCTTTAGTGAAAATTGTTTAATAGGAATGAACTCTGAATAGACTTTGAGCCATTATAGGCTAAGACATAAAGGCGTTTATTTAGAACTCAGATAGCATAAATTATTCCCTGAGATTGCAAGCTACCTATAATTTAATTTAGTTTATTAGTTAAACTTTACAGATCTACAATATTAATAAGCTATGATAAAATTGTAGCTACTTCACTTAAACGATCACACTTATGGCAACATATTAAAGTACTAACATTGAAAAAAAAATTTATATCTTTTCCAAAGTTACATTTGAATCATTATATTTTAATCATCCCAATAAATCTTAAAAAATTAGAGAGAATCACATAAGCCTTTTAAAAAGAAATTCTAAGACTAATTGGATTCAAAGAAAAGTTCAACCTCAACATCTGAAATATTGACATAAAACTATTTCAGTAACTTGTAGTCCAATTAATATTGAAAAGGATTTAAATGATGTAATGATATAATGATAATACTCCTGAAAGAAAAAAAATTATAATAATTTAGCTCTCTTACGATTTCAAGGGCTTTCACAATTGAATGGACAGAAAAGAAAATTTAAGAATTATATGAAAAAGAAGTTGTTTCATTGGGTGCTAAACTTAAACGTGCTAGAGATATTTCTAAAGGATTATTGTTTTACGCACATGCGAAATTTTTCATCATTGTATGATCTCTATAATAATTATCATCTTTTTCATAATAATTATTCTTTATCATTATTACTAAAAAATATTTTTTGATAGATTACAAATAATGATAGCAAAACTTGCTACAAATCAATTTGAAGATATTTCAGTAGTAATACTGAAAAATTGATTAAAAGAATCAAATGAATACGAAGTTCATGGTAAAATTATAAAAAAAAATATAATATAAACGAATACAAATAAATAAAGTTTATAAAATTTATTTCTTTAATTATAAAAAATTTGATTAATTTAAAATGTGCATTAAAATCTCAAAGAAATTTAGCAATTTTAAATCATTTTTATTTTCATAAGAATATCAATAATTAAAACCATTTGAATATTTTTTGTTTTTCATTTCAAAAGTTCCATATCTGGATATAGATTTAAATAATATTTGTTACACATTCTTAAGAATAATTAAGACTTAAGGATATCATGAATTGCTTTAAAAGATTATCAGAGAATGTATGTTTAAAGAATAAATAAATATTACATTTTTATTAGTATAATTCAATATCGTTTATTTAATTATTTATTTTATTATATATTTTATTATAGCTTTGAAACTTGATTCGAAACATTCTTTGGGATTGGATCTAATTTTTTTTTGCAAAAAAAAAAAAATAACTCATACGTTCTTTGTGATATTTGAGTAATTTTTTTCGTTATTTATTACAGATTTGTGATTCTGGGTTCGCGCTATGCAAGGATTTTCTATATTTTTTATATTTTTTTATAAATTTTTTAATACTTTCGTTTCTTTCTTAATTCCAGATGTAATAGGTAATATATATGAGTCTATTAATGAATAAATGATGCACGACAAAAAAAGAATGAACATTTAATAAACATTAATTTTTTATAGGTGAAAACAGATCCCAATATTTGGTTTCTTTGGTTACTCCTGTATTTGCAATAACATGCAATAAAAAATTTACCAGTTTTTGCTATATAGAAAATAATATATTTTGCATATATTTATATCGTGTATCTAAATTGCACGTGTACATGTAAGTATATATTTATTAAAAAAAAAAAAAGATAAATGAATTTAACATAAGTTGATAAATTGAATTTTCTTCTGTAATTGCATCTTTTATAGCTGTACATATTTCTTATAATAAATATACAGTATAAATAAATGTATATATAATTTGTTTGTTTTAATTTAATATATTAATATCATCATCAATCTGGCACTTTAACAATATCTTAACCTTCATTATAGTAATAGTTTTCTTCTACCACTTTTTAACCATCAAAAGCTTTACTTTAACTTGATCTTTCAACCAAAATATTCTTCTGAATAATATTGATCCCCTTTATATGCCATTTAAAGGTATCTCTGTAAATGTCAATTATAGAAATACCACAGTTTTTCCTAATAATCTACATAAATTTGTCCAAAACTATTTCCACTAAAGCAGATTTTAAAGAACCTTGCATTCCTTCATTTTATCTTCAAAAATCCTAACCTTTGTACTACAAGGTTCATTAACATTTAATAAAAAAAGTTAATAATACAATATATTTATTTAGTTTCCTAAAATACTATTCATATTGAAACATAATGTAATTAGTGAAAATAGGGTGAATTTCATGTAATTTATACAGAAATCTCAGAAAATTTAATTGTAAACTTCAATTGCATACAGAATTAGCTGATAAATTAGACATAAATAGATTGATATAATTGCAACCTAAACAAATTTAATTTAACAACCATCGAAACTAAAATTATCTATGTTAAAATTTTTAAAAAGTATAGGTTTACTTGTAACATTTGCTTCTGTTTCAGTGGAAGATAAATATTCATCTTAATTTTCATCATACATTTTTTGATTGCATTTAAAAACATAATTTAAATGTTCTGTTTTTTATCATACATCAAATCTTCAATCCATTTTTTCTGACATTTTTTCATAAATTCGTCATAACGTTGAGGTGTACCTTTATTAATTTTGGTCAAAGTCCATTGAAATATCAGTGCTATAAATATCTGAAGCCTGTGTATATTGGTATTCATTCAATACCTCAGATGCAATATATGGTACTACTCCTTATGTTCCAGATGATGAGGTTTATTTGCTAATCTGCCTAATCCCAATCTCCTAATCTTATGAATTTATATTTTTGAATTAATATGCACTTCAGTTATCATTAGGTTCTCAGAAGAAGATCTCAATGGACAAATCTTTTACTATGAATGGCTTTTAATCCACTAATAAAAGAATTCAATAGCCAAATTAATTCAAGGTAATAATTTATTCTGTTTAAGATAATCTCTCAAATTTCCATTTTTCATATATAATAAACTATTGCATATTCTTTGTTATTGAATCTTGAGTTATACCCAAAATTGGTAAAATATATTTATCTCAACATTGGAAATTTGGGATTACAAAAATTAAAATAAATATAATATATTATATACTATAAAAACATTGATATATTGAGGCAAATTTATTTTATTTATAAAACATAAATATCTCTTTAGACATATCTATCCATTTATCCATTCTGCTTTCCAACTGCTAAACCCTCCCTCAGCTAAATATTCTAAATTTTCCAATTTACTATAATCCAAATTTCCTATTAATTTGCATTCTCATCTGATTGGGCCATTTGAATAACTTACTATTCTAATGTTACACTGTTTACTTTAGTTTGCAAGTGTATTTTCATTTTTCTTTGCTTTATTCAATAAGTAAATAGCTTTTACAATATCTTGCTCAGTCCTAATTAAGTATTGACTCTTATTATGTTCATTGTTATGTTCACTTTCTGCAGCTTTTTTATACCATTCAAATGTTTTCACTTGATCCATTCTTATAGAAAAATCCTACTAGTAAACCAATAATGAGATTCATGACTAATCATTCTTTCATTTATAATATAATTTTTCTGTGTAACAAAAATTGAAGGATGATCTGGTCTGGTTTAACTTCTAAATTCAATAAAGAAAATTTTTATAATTAGATAGACGTTTTAGGATATAGATAAAAGATATAACGACAATTGCATCAGAATTTTTTCATAAAGATTTTTTAACACTTGAGAAATATTTGGCCGCGAATTTCTATCGTGTTTCCAGCAATCTAACAAAAATATTCAATATTACTTTAATAAATTATTATGATTAATAAATTTATATCAGAACATATTTCCTTGTTATTAAAAAAAAAAAGATCTTACCTAACTATTTACGTGATTCCATCCATCGATCCGAAGAAAGAAATCAATAAGTGATATTAATAAAAATAAAGATCTTATTACGAAATCCCAAGTATTAAAAAAAATTAACAAATTTTACCAATCTAGATATTAAAAAAAAAAGAAATCAGGTAAGTGATATTAAAAGATTTACCATAGAATCCATTATCAACTCATAAATACAAAAGAATCTACATTTGCTGCTGATCATTTTGTACCATTGAGCTAGTTACAAAAATTATTAAGCTTTGTATCCAAGAAAAATGGAAAACAACGAATATGTAGAATATTTTTAGGCATTTGATGAGACATTAGAAACTTTCAGTGTAAATTTTATTAAAGAAAAATAACTGAAAAGATTTATGATAATGAAACTCTAAAACAACAAATAAAAGCATCCCAATCTGAACAGAAAAGGATCTATTAGTTGATGTATCACATACTGAATATAAAATAAATAGTTGACAAGAAAATTAACTGATTTTTTTTTATTTTTTTAGTATTTTTAATAAAATTTCTTTTTAAATTTTCTTTGATGATATTTCCAAAACTTTTCTATTTGATTATTGCATTTATCTAAATTTAGTTTACAAAATTATTACTAAAATTTTTTAATATTAACATTGGTTATCTTGGATTATTCCTGCCTACAATATTATATACAGTTGCTACATCCTTTTTGATGTCTTTGGATACTCAATTGGGTAAAGTTGAATACTGGACTTCTTTAACATGTATTTTTTTTTCCTAAAAAAACACAAGTTTGATGTTCAATCCACTCACATCTATATCTCATTATCAATAATTTAAATTTCTTCCATTATTTATCTCTTAAACCGTCTAGCGGGCAAATTTGCACGTAAAACATAGTAGCATGTGAAAACTGACGGTTTAAGGAATACGTGTTAATATGTTGTCTAATCAATATTAAAATTATCATGTGATCAGTACATATAAAACATTTCTTTGCAATATGAATCGAACATTAACTTAAATTTGATAGGTTGAAAATTTTAAATTAATTACGACACCCAGAAAACGCCATACTAAACAAATTTGGAACCTAATGATGTAATAATTTAAAATCCTCAACATTGTTGATTATATAATAATTTAAAAATCTCTTAAAATTTTAAAAGCCGAAAAAAAAGTAAATGTTATTTTCGTGACTTTTCGATTTTTTTTACGTCGAAAAATTTATTCTCGAAATACCTAGAATAATGAAAGAATGATTTACCACTATTATCATTTTTTGCGAAAAAAGCTTAGCATATTAGTTAAATTATTGATAAAACAATGAATTTCTTTTAAAATCAAAATTACAAATCAATTGAATCAATTGCATTAGTAAAGAAATACAATAAAAAAAAAAATAGAACAAAAAAAAAACGAAGAGATTTAAAAATTATGATATCATTTTTTTTTTTATTTTGGAATGTCATATTAAAATAATACTTTAAATATAAAAATGAAGAAAAATACTTAATGATTTTTTTTTCGGTTCCCACAAAAAAGATATTTTTTTACGCAATCGCTATTCCTTGATAATAATAAGAGTTAATTATAGCTAATGATAATAATTTAAAAATTTAAAAATGATTTCTTCCATAACTCACACACTTCTAAACTTTCCTCCCTCTCAGACCTGTCAACAAACGTGTTCAGTTTACACACCACCAACAACAGCGTCGACAAATAATGCCTTAAGAATTTTTCTTATCCAAACTGCATTAGGTCTTTTTAATACTTCGGGTGGGTATAAAGCGAATTATTATTTAATGTCATCTTTAGCAGAACGAGGACATGCCTGTCGATCAATCGTTGTTTGCCCAAAGAAGGATATCCTTTCTGCCCGAGTTGCATTTACCGAAGAAAAAATATGTTTTGGTGGTGAAACAAATGAAGTTTTTGTATATCGATTCGTATGGGGTAAAATAGAAATTATTGGTCTTGAACTTGAACAATATTTAAAGATTTTCCCTCGAAGTTCAATTTCACAACCACTTAAGGAAGTTGAAGATCGAATGGAACGTTGGTTGGAGGTAAATAAATTATTTAATAATTTTTTTTTTTTTATTACGATTATATTATTATGCTTCAATTATATTCACTTGGGATATTGGAATATAATTGGGGCGATGATATCTAAAGGACAGAGAAAATGCACAGGAATATGACGCATATCTTCAATTTATAACGAAGGAACTCTTCACTTTTCGTACGACACATTTCTTATTTAACGATTCGGTTTCACTTAAAATTGCATCAACTTTACCTCCAATTATTACTCGAGTATTTATCTGTCACGCTTGTGAACATCTTTCATTTGGACCATATGGAGGGGTACCAGGATTTGGTAGTTCATCGTCTCCTATCGAATTTAAATGGTTAAAAGAAATTGAAGGGATTTGGGCAGTAAGTCAAGCAGTTAAGGGATATATAGAAATTTATGGTAAAGGACTTTCTCCTACTTATCTTCCATTACATCCAGCAATCTTTGGAGAACCACCGTTCAAGATGTATCATAATTTTGATGCGCCGTACATCTTAGCGATTAATCCTGGAAGTGTAAAAGGTTTCGTTATTTTTCGAGAGTTGGCAGAAAAAATGAAGGATATTAAATTCGCAGCTGTTAAAAGTTGGAGCATAAGTGAATATCAATTGGAACAATTATCTAAACTTCCAAATGTTGAGTGAGTCATATTATTATATATTTATTTATTTATTTATTTTTCAACTTAATTTAATTATATTTTCTATGCTTAAAAATAAGATATTATTTAATACATCATTTTTAATTTTAATAATTTAAAGGATATTGTCAATGTTCAAAAATATGAATGAATTATGGCCTTTGGTTAAAGTTCTCTTGGTACCATCCATTTGGTAAGTATATTAAAACTTTTGATCATGTGATATAAATATTTTAATTAATTTTACTTAATTAAAAAAATAATTAACTAATTAATTAATCAGGTATGAAGCATTTGGACTTGTGGTCGTGGAAGCAATGTTACGAGGTATTCCAGTAATTTGTTCCGATGTAGGAGGAATACCTGAAGCCAAATGTGGGGTTAATTTTGGGACAATACATGTAAACCTTATTAAAGGTGAACGAGAAACAGATCCTGAGACCTTGAAAAGAATGGGAATTTATAGAATTCCACCTCAAAATATTGAACCATGGATTGAATCAATTAGATATTTATTAAGTAATCGAGAAACTTATGAAAAGATTAGTCAAGAATGTTATGAGAAAGCTACGAAATTTGTAAAAAGTATTGATGTCGAAATATATGAAAGATGGTTAATAGAGATAAAACAAAAGACATTATTAAATGGGAAAATAATTAAAATGAACTGATAAAAATAACTTTATTAACTGAATGTTATCTATGGTAATTAGTAAATGGTAAATGACATTAGTAAATGATAAAAATGTAATAATTAGTAAATTAAATAAATAAATTTAGTAAAAATAAAATTAATTAATTTAATCATTAAATACATTAGTGAATATTCATAATAATGAATTATTTTTTATTATTGTACATTTTAAATAAAAAGACATCTCTTTTTAAAACATTATATTACGAATATTAATTAAATAAACGAATTTAAAATAAATAAAAAATAAAATAATAAACTTATAAAATAAATAAGTTTATAAAATTAATTAAATAAAATTAATAACAAATTTTAATAAATCTAATTTTTCTAACTTACCAATAAATAATAATTTAAATTGGATGTAATAAAATGTCTGTCTTTAATATTTTATATCTTTATAATATAGATATCTTTTTTAATAATAATAAAATGTCTGGTTGATTTTTTTTTTTTTTATATATTAAAACTTTCTCCACATCCACAACTTTCTTTTACGTTTGGATTATTGAAGACAAATTTAGATGAAAGTCTATTTTCTACATAATCCATTTCTGAACCAAACATTTTAAATAAAGATTTTGAATCAATCAAAACTGTCACCCCTGTAATTATATAGATAAATATAGATATTATTATTATTATCTTTATTTTAGTAAATATGACTTATAAATAATTCAAAATATTCATATATTTCATATTTACCATCCTGTCTTATCTCTTCATCAAATTTCCCTTTTTCTTTGGTATATTCCAAGGCATAAGATAACCCTGCACAACCTTTATTTTTAACGCCTACACGAATTAATTTAGGATCAGGTCCTTGAACTAATTGCTTAAGCCTATTTACTGCAGCCGGTGTCTTTTTTTTTTAAGAAAAAAAAAGATTGGTTAGTAAAAAGATTAAAAGAAATATAAAAAAAAAGACTACAAATTACTTGTAGGAATTTAATTAATTAAAGTGAAAATATATATTTATATAGTTTACATAATATATTATATATACATACCAAAGTCATTACCACTCTTGGTGGACGAGATCTTTTAGTGGCCAAGGAATTTCCAGCAAGCTTTAATGCATTTGACGCTGATCTAAGTGCTGTGTTTGCTGCCGACATTCTAAAAATTGTTTTTTTATATATATATGCTTACAAGAACGAACAATTTTTTAAATACCTAGCTTTTTATTTTTTACTTTATTATATTATTTTTTTTCCAAATAAGAAAAGTTCTGAGAAGAATTTGTCTCGAAATTTTGTAATAATTAAAATTAAAATAAAAAAATACTTGAAATTTTACTAATAAAGAATAGATTCGATTTGTCAGCAACCTCTTTGTATATCGTAATACAAATCATATGATAATATGATCGAATAATTTGGCCATAATGAAAAATCTATCTTTATACGTAACTGCAAAAAAAAAAAAAAAAAAAAAAAATGGTTGGCACCTCAATCGTTATAAAAAGATCACGGATATTGTGTGAGAAATATAAAACTGATCTAATGTTTAAAATGCTTTAATAAAGGAAGAAGAAAATATTTTATCTGAACAGTATAATTAATATAGAAACCCCATCTGTATTTAATTGATCATTTGTGATATGTTACTCTAATAAATATAAAATATAATAAATACATGCTGGATTTAATCAAATCTTGAAGTTCTGAAAATTGCACATGTTTATGGTGGAAAATGTCTTTCTAAGGATCAGTATTTTTGGAAATGTGCTATGAATAGTTACCATATGTGAAATGCGATTGATAGTTACACTTGATCCGTGATAATCATCTATATTAAGAATTAAAAGTTTCTACAGTTTTAAAGAATTCTTTTTATTTTATTGTCCTTTTCATTTGGGATTCAATGGATTGAAAAAGCCTCAAAGATTTGGATTTCGGTTTTCATCTGTATCTTGTTTCTTTCACGATGTTGATAAAAAGTTGTAAAACGTTGATGTATTATAATTAAAAAAGGTAATTACCTGCAGATATGGTTTTATTGAAATTTCCAATTGAGTTTTTAATTCTTAAATTTCTAATTTTAACCTTTTCACTTGATACGAGTCCTTTGATATTCTTCCAAAACTCAAAGTCATTCATCTTTTTTGATTATTTGGTTGGTAAGTCAAGTCATTTTATCATGTTTTTACTTTTATTTATAATGTTCAACAAATGCACAATAAAAAGCAAAGTCACAACTTTAAGGTCTGGACAATGTGTTTTATATACTGTTTCTGCCCTGTTAAAGCCAATTCCCATTGCATTTTTACTAATATTCTTGGGTTTTTCTAAGTGATCAAATGGGTAAAAAATTATAATATAAATAATTAAAGTACCCTGTGTCTGTGTAACAATATAAATGAATTTTAATCGACGCGATAGAGATCAAAAAGTCAAAAAAAAAAAAATTTTTTTTTTTATTTCAAGAAATTACGAGAATATATTGTAATGGTAAATTTTTTTAACTTTCTTAAGATCGGAATAATAAAACAATAAAACATTCTTTTTTAATGAAAGATTTTTATTTAATGAAATAATTGAATGATTTACTTTTTACTTGATATTTAAAAGTTAAAAAAACAAAAAAAAACAACCGGTCAAATTTCTTCTTCTACTTCAACATATATCCATCCTTCATCCCGTAAAGCAGCCCAATTACAAAGGGCAGCTTTACGTAAAGATCGAGTAGAACGAATTAAATCAAAAAAATTTAATGAAGGAATTCAACCTTTAATTGATAGAATATTATGGTTTAAATATGCTTTGGATGATTCGATTCCTTGCGCTACTAAAAATGAAGTTTATGATTTAATTGAGATGTATGAAAAAAATTTTTTTTTCTTTCACAATTTACGATTTACAATATATATATATATATATACATATATATATATATAATTACAATGTACAATAATAACATATCAAATAAAATATTTAGATAATTCTATAAAATATTTATTTTAATACGTTAATTTATAATTTTTAGGTATATATCTCGAAATGATGAAGAAATTGAAAAATTAAATAACAACAACAACAACAACAATAATAATAATAAAATAATGGCAAAGAATAGACCTAAATCTAGTGCCAAAGAAGATTTATTAAAAGCATTGAAATCAAAAGAAAAACGTGAATATATTGAAGGATTTGGTAAAGATAATTATTTTAATTAGCTATCAATTTAATATATTTATATATATTTTCTTGAATATTTTCTTGAATATCTTCTTGAAATATTTGAATTAGAAATTCCAAATTTGATGGATTCAAGAAATGTTAAAACATTACGGTATTAGTCATCTCTCTTTTTATTTTATTTATTTATTTTTCTTTTATTTATTTTATTTTATTTATTTTTATTTTTATTTTATTTTATTTTATTTTATGGATAAATTTTTTAGTGAATGGGATGGTGATCCAAATTCCATGTCAAGAATTAAATTAATTCATGTGGAAGATCCAAATCATCTTAATTTGTTAAAAATTTTAAAAGAAAAAAAGAATAAGAAAAAAGATAAAAATAAAAAAAATAATAATAATAATAAAGATGATTTATTAATCAGACAAATCAAGCAGATTGAAGAAGGAATGAAAAAACTTAATTATAATGACACACCACAAGAAGTCATGAAACAAACAATAAGACAAGAAACAATGGTGCTTGATTGAAAAAAATTAGGTTTATGTGAGAAATTTCGGAATAGATAATTTTTGAATATATATATATATACAATATATATATGTGTTTTTAATAAAGTATTTATGATCATTAATTTATTATTTTTATTATTCTTTTGTTTTTGTTTGTTTGTTTGTTTGTTTTTATTTATTTATTTAATTAATGATTTATTATTTACTGAGTAATTCTCACTATTTTCACTATTCTCATTCTATTCTTCATCAAGTATTTATTATTTATATTATTCTTCAGCTTGAACAAAAGGATTTGCAATTTCTTCAGTTCCGTCAACAGGTGATATTAGTATTACAGCTGGTCCACGACAAACGATCAAACCAAGTGAACGACTTTCATCTAAAAGATGATTATTCTCCGGATCTATTTTAACAAACAATATATATATATAATTATTATTATTATTGTTATTTACATTATAATAATAAAATGTATAACGAAAATACCTCTCAATTGTTCTTCCGTATCATCGAGTACTAAATTTAATAATGGATCATAACCTTTTAATACTCCGGTCACTAAAAAAAATTATTATTATTATTAATTTATTATTTCAAATTCTCATCAAAAAAAAAAAAATTTTTTCTTAATAAAAATAAATAAATAAATTCACCTTCTCTCCCTCCATTAAATTTTACTCGTATCTTTTTATCCATATACTTTGATAAATCAAGTATTGATTCTTTTTTAGGTTTCACATCAGGACCGGCGAAAGTATGACCTCCTCGGGCACCACCACCACCACGTCCACCTCTAACTCCTCCTCCACGTGTTGCTCTACTTCTACCCTTATTTATTTTTTTATATTTTTATAAATAAAATATATAAATATTATCACGTCATATAATATACAGTATATTTTTATAATCCAAAAGAAATACAGAATTGACTTTTTCATTACTTACTCGGTCAGACATTTTATAGTTATATTTTTTAGATTTATTTTACTTTATATTATTATTTTTTTTTTAAAAAAAAAAATAAATTGTTTCTTATACATATTTGATATGTACTATAATTTTTAGTATAAAATAACTTTGGGATCTTCTGATTTTTATTATCATATTTTTTAAAATCATATGTTATGCTGCGCCGAAATTAAAATCTTAGTTTAGAACTCTTATTGATTTACGTAATCCGTTTTCGTAATAATATTGAAATACATATTTATTCCGATTTTCATTCTTCCGTTGAATATCGTTGAGTATATATATATAATCGTGATATAGCGTGGCATATATCGTTCATATATCGTTAATCGAACTACACTATAAATAATAAAATTATAATAATAAGAGACTGAAAAATTAAATTAGTTTAATTAAAATAATGATTGTAGATACTCTTATAAATGATATATTCAATATAAATACATGCTCAAATCTTAATTTTTCGTCCTCGTCTCGTCTTTTGTAGTTGTTGTTATGTTCACTGTATTTTCATCATTTTTTTTTTTGGATGTACCGTTAATTTTAGCGATATAATACGTATGCTTTCTCTTTTCTCCTTTCTCCTTTATTTCATATAAATTTTCTCTTTTCTCCTTTATTTCATATAAAAATCGAATGTGAATTTTTTTTAAAAAAAATTAATAAGAAATAATAAAAACATAACATTTACGCGCAATTTATATTATATAATTTCACATTTTGATGATATATATATAATTTCAACGTTTTATGTTATATAAATATAAATATATATATATATATTACGTTTTATAATTTTGAAACAAAATTAGAAATTGTTTTTGGAGAAAAGAGAAAGCATATTATTTAATTTATTAATTAATAATATTATTTTAGATAGATTTTTCTCTTATCCTCATTATCTTCATTCTCATCCTCATCCTCATCCTCATTCTCATTATTATTTATCTCTGTTTCAAAAAAAATTTTTTTTTTTTTTTGAAAACGAAACGATTCCCATCCTACTAGATTCAATAATTATTGAAATTTTATTCATAAATAGATTTGATTCCTTTTTTTTTTTTTTGTTTTCAAGAATAATGTCTCCCGCTTATTTTCTCTTATCATCAGGAAGTGATGTTATTGATACTAAAGATACAGATAATTTAAGAAATGGATCTATTATTGGTATAATCGGAATGATATTTCTTATTGTTATATTACTTTGTGCGTCATTTATCTTTAAGATTTGGTGGAAACGAAATAAACAACCACTCAGATATAATAAAGTCAAGGTAATTTTTATATATATATTTATATGTTATGTCTAAAATTTCTCTGTAATAATAAATTTAAATATTTATCCTTTTTTTTTTCTTCTTTTAGCCTTCAGATTTCGTAAATTTAGAAAGGAAAACATTAACTAATAATAAAAACAATAGTGATTTATTCAATAAAGATTCTTATGGCAACTTTTACTCCCAACAACAACAACAACAACACAACCAATACAACTATAATAAAAACAATAAAGATTCTTATGGCAACTTTACTCCCAACAACAACAACAACAACAACAACAATAGTAACAGTAATACCAATATTTCTTCTACTCCATCATTTCCTATAATAAATTCACCCTCACCAACAATAAAACGTGATAAAATTCGTAATACAGATACTTGGGAGAGATATTTAAAAATGATAAATAATCCTATTAGATTAAATTCTGTGGTAAATTCAAAAAAGTACTATGGATCTTAATAATAATATTATTATTATTTAGTTATTATTATTATTAGAAATTTTTTTGGTAAATGGTAATTATTTTAGAGTTATTAGCAGCAGTAGTTTGTTTTTTCATTATTTATTATTATTCATTTTTAGATTTATATTTATATCCCCCTCCCCCTTTTTCGTTTTGTACATTATTATATTTTTTTTAATTTTAATGTTGTGCTGTTGTTGTACGTTATTATGAATTTATTATTATGAAATTACATATCTAATAGATGTTAGCAGTATTATTATTATGTATTAGCCTGTGAACAGTTTTATTTACTAAATTAAATAAATATGAGACTTTGCTAGTCTTTTAAAGAAAAATAATAATAAATACTCGTGAACGAGTTATTGGATGTACAGTACAATAATACAATTTTTATCTTAAGACAATACAACAGAAGGAACCCAAAATTTCATCTGTATTTGCGACTTTTATAATTATCACTGTGACCATGGCACATCAATCCATCTCTGCTCGCTTAGAAAAAGTAGTGTTACGGAAATTTCGTCTGCATGCTCATCAGAAATTATAGTTGAAAAAAGTTCCCTTGTACGAGCAGACAATTCTGATTTTGTTAGTCGGTCGGGATATATAAAATATTGTTTTAAATCTTTCCAAAGTTATTTGCCAAGAATTTTTTTTAAGGTTCAACTTTTATCCAAAATATCATTACCCAGAATGTGAAAATATCTAATATATGGTAAGCATTGTTAAAAAATTTTTCTGGGTCCATTCTTCGAGGTTTATAGGTAGAGTAGAATTTTGAGCAATTCCCTACCTGATAGTATATTCCCGATTTTATTTGTAAATCATCTCTTTTGAGAAAGCAGATTCTGAAAGAGATGTAAAATCTGAACTATCAAAAATAAGATTTGGGTACTTTACTACAATGTGATTACAAAAATTTTCTAAATCTTTAAGGTATTGTTTGTTAAAAAATATTATGGTATACTAAAGAAAAATGTGTTCTTAACCAATAAGCTTTGGTTTCGATAAGATGAGTTTCTAGTTTTTTGAATAATTCCTCGAGTTCAAATTCGTTAGATGCTAACATTAAGTCAAAAATAAATCTAACTTCAACATTCTCTAAGTTAAACGATACCAACATAAATATTTCTATATATACATAATTTAGATAATAATAATTAATAATTTTTTATATTTTGTATACTGTATAAAATAGTTATAATGTAACTTGAAACTTACTTGAGAATAATATCAAAAATTTCATTAGAAATATTAGTTTGATAATTGTTTTGATATTGTTCTCATTCGGAATAATGTTTTCTAATTCTTTCGAAAACAGGGTGATCGATATTTCAATATGTTAGAGTGAGCAGTAAAAGTTTTCTCATTTTTAACTTAATGATTGTCTTATAGTCATCTTTATCATTAAGAAAGAGTTCAGAAAAAATTTCAATGCCATTTTTTATGAATTTGGTTAAAAAAATTTAAAGCTGTACAAAATTATTTTAGTTTTAGTATGTCATTTGATTAATTTTTCGTTCGATTATTAATTTTTCGTTCGATTTAAACTCGATTTCTTGTCTTCTTCTAGATTTGTATAAAATAAAAATTTTCGAATTAATTAATTAATATATAACTAAGTATTAAGCACGGCACGTTTTGAAATTATTTCTTTCTGAAATATTGAATTATTTATTAATTTAATTTATTAATTGAATGTTCTTTTAGAGCATCTTTGTATCCTATACAAAATAAATATCCAACTAAAATAATAATCATTAATAGAGTAATAATTTGATATATATTCATAATTTCAAAAACAACCAAGTAATTTTCTTTTTGGCTTTGAAAACTTCATAATCAGCAATATCGAAAGCTCTCAGATATCTTTTTCATAATTACTATAATCATAATAAAATTTTGCATTATCTCCAATACAAAAACTGCCCCCAAAATTAAGACCACGATTTGTTTGACTCCCTTTTGCATAATTATAATCGCATAATTAGGGTATTTGCTCGGCAAGAATTGAATTTTTTATATTACCATTTTTCAATGTTTCGATATCTTTGAATTTCTGTAAGAAACTCCACGCAATTTTAAATAATAATGTAATACTTATAAAATGAATCATTATACCTTTTGTAATTATCTCATTGTTCTAATTAATTCTATTAGTCTAAAAATTAGGTGGATCGAAAAAGGTAAAGAAATAAGAAATTTATTTTTTTTTTCAGAACGTTGGTTAGAATACACATGAAAACATTGAAAATTCGTAAGTAATTATTATTTTTGTTAAAAAATATTTGTAAACATGAAAAAAAATAATAATTAAAGTTTATGACTGTTTTTGATTATTAGGTAGATCCAAAAAAAAATAAAATTGTTTATTTTTTTTATGTTAACAAATTTTTTAACAAAAATAATAATTACCAATAATAAAATTATTATCAAATAATAATTACGAAAAAAAAATATTTTTTTATAATTATCTAAACGGTATCAAAGTACAGTGTGTTCTCTTACACTTTACTTCCGTGTATTGTTAATTCTATTATTATTATCTTATTATAATATAGAAAACTATAATAATAAATAACTATAATATATTACTATTATGAACATCATGTAAATCATTTAGAAATTATTTCAGAAATGTAGATCTACAGTGTAATCAAAAGCGTAATAGATAATGCTCCTAACGGGTCGTATCGACCCGGGTTGATCCGTGTAACAAAATACTTTAAGTTTGAAATGTTTAAAAATTATTTTTAAAAAAATATTTACACTTTTATTTTTAATAAATGATTCTTATTTTGTTATTTCATTTGTTTCGTCTATTTCATCTTTTTTTATTACTATTAAATCATGTGGATAATTGCCAATAATAATTTACATTCTCACCAATAATCCTAATTAAATTACAATTAATGCTAAAAAGAATCCAATATCAAAATTAAATCTCTAAAATTTTACATCTTAAATACATTTCAATTATATTTCATACAAAGAGATTTTCATCTCCTGATGATGAAGAAGAATATCATTCATCAGATAAATCAGATTCAACTGATAAAACCATTCATTTAATCAATTCATTATGTCGATTAATTGTTTATCAATTTCACCTCTATAAAATATATACATTTTAGAAATATTAATATAATTATACTCTAAAATACGACAATTAACATCATCATCATCACTAAATATAGTATATACAGGGTTAAATGCAATGCTTATCCACAAATTTCAGATTTTGGATTGAGTAAATTAATTACAGCAAACATAAAAAATATCCAAAATAATACCATTTCAGGAGTATTACCCTATATAGCAACTGAAGTATTAATTGGGGAAGAATATACAAAAGCAACTGATGTTTATTCATTCGCATTTGTTGCTTATGAAATCATCACTAGAATTTCCTCGTATCACGAAGTGTCACATGATAAAGATTTGGCTTTTAAAATATGTAATAGATTTTTGATCCAAAAATTCCATTTCACATGTCTAAATTAAATAAATTAAATACAAAAATGATCATAAGATGTTGGGATGCCCGAATTACATATCGACCCATCTTTTGATGAATTATATAAAGATTCTTTTAATGAAAATAGCGAAATTACAATTCAAATTAAAGAAGCTGAAGAATTTTCTAAAAATCAAACAACAACTGATACAACAACTATAACTCTGATAAATTATATAACACATTCGCAAGCAATTTATACCAGTAGACTTAATTTTTCAAATCTTCCAAAACCTAAAAATGATGAAAATTTTGAAAAAAAAACTTGAAGAATTAACAGAATATTTTTATCAAATAAATATTGGTAAGTGTCAAATATATTTTATTTTTCATTTCATGACATGATTATTTCTTTATATTTAATTAATTTACTTTATTTATTTATTTTTAATTAGGTAATGATGATGATTATGATAATTTGAATACATTTAATTTATAAATTTTATTTAACATTATATATTTTTTTATCTGTATTTTATTTATTTAATTATAAGACATCAGTTATTAATTTTTTGATATTATAAAATCTTTACACTAAGTATAGAGTTTGTAATTATGACTTTTTTATCAAATAAAATATCGCAATTTTTTATATTTTACAAATGATGAGTTCTAGCCATAAGATAATTGTTGAAGAATAATTAGTAGTTTTACGATCAATCCAGGAGGAAATTTCGGCTGCATGTTCATCAGAAATTATAGTTGAAAAAGGTTCCTTTGTACGAGCAGGCAATTTTGGAACTAGAATAGATCTTGCAGGTAAAATAACTGATTTTGTTAGTCGGTCGGGAGATATAAAATATTATTTTAAACCTTTCCAAAGTTGTATGTCAAGAATTTTCTTGTAAGGTTCTACTTTATCCAAAATATCATTACCCGGAATATTTAAATATCTAATATATGGTAAGCATTGTTGTAGAGTAGTTTTCAAAGTTAAAAAATTTTCTTGATTCCATTCTTCGAGATTTAGGTAGAGTAGAATTTTGAGAAATTCCCCACTTGATGGTATATTCCAGATTTTAGTTTCTTCTATTTGTAAATCATCTCTTTTGAGAAGAGATACCAAAGCAGATTCTAGAAGAGATGTAAAATCTGAACTATCAAAAATAAGATTTGGGTACTTACTACAATGTCATACAAAAATTTTCTAAATCTTTAAAGTTTTATTTGTTAAAAATATTATGATATATAAAGAAAAATGTGTTCTAAACCAAGAAGTATTGGTTTCGGTAAGTTCAAATTCATTAGCTGCCAACATTAAGTCAAAAATAATTCTAATTTCAACATTCTCTAAGTCAACGATACCACCATAATTATATCTAAATATACATAGATTAAATAATAATATTAATAATTTTATATAAAATAGTTATAATGTAACTGAGAATAATATCAAAAATTTTATTAGAAATATTTGATTTGATAATTGTTTTGATATTGTTCTCATTCGGAATAATGTTTTCTAATTCTTTACGAAAACAAAGTGATTGATCGATATTTCAATATGTTAGAGTGAGCAGTAAAAGTTTTCTCGTTGAAGTCATCTTTATTTTTAAGGAGTTCAGTAAAATTTGAGACAATTTATAAAAAATTCGATGTCGTTTTTTCTCTGATTTGGTTCATGTTTCTGTGGTTTCTGTGAATTTGGTTCGTGTTTTTGGTGATTTTTTGAAAAAAAAATGAATACATTTTTCAATTTCGCGAAGATTTTACTGTGCTGTAGATCATTTGGAGATTTTCATAAGGTCGAAATTTGATTTTTCGTTCATATTTGGATTTCTTCGTATAAAATAAATATTATGAAATTTTTGAATTGATTACTTTATATATAACTAAATATTGCACGTTTGATATTCAAATATTTATTGATTTTTAATTAATTTATTAATTGAATTGTTCTTTTTTCTTCACTTTAGAGCATCTTTGTAATCTACACAAATATAAATATCCAACTAAAAAAACTAAAAATAATATTAATCATTAGTAGATATATATCAAAAAACCAATTATAAATTATATTAAAAAAAATAAACTTCTTAAATAGTTTATTTTTGGCCTTGAAGACTTCGTGCGATATTAAGCTCTCGGTTTTGATTTATTATTTCTGATACAAAGATTTGGAACTATAATTTGTTTACATAATTAAAAACTGCATATTCGGGATCTTTACTCGACTAAGAATTGAGTTTTGTATATTATCATTTTTAATGAGAAAATAAAACTATCATTTGTGTTCATCCATACATTATTATTTGTATTATCTCACATTAAAAGATTGTATCCACATCTGGTCTTAGCAACTACTTTAAAATTGGATATTTGGGTGATAACGGATGATTTTTAAAAAAAAATTTCACCCGATTTCATCTGGTTTATATTCTAAAACCAGGTGATATAGGTTTATCCAATTTAATCTAGTTTTATCCAAATTATATTCAATCTGGGTTAATTATTGTAATGTTTAAATTTCAAACTAGATAAAATAAAGCGAAATTTTCATTGTCTGTGCGTTTTTTTTACTTTTTTTGACTTCGTTCGCGATTTTCGAAACATGGAGTTATTTTTACTAAGGTGACTTTATGATGGATAGAACGGCCTTGTTGTTGGCTACAAAATAATATGTGTTTCATCCCTGTAGCACCGATATTCGCGGAGTTATTTCAGTTTAAAGAAAACCGTCCGTAAAAAAAATCGGCAAATTTTTTTCCGTGGAATTTAACATTATGAAAATTTCCGCGAAAATTTTTGGCACGATTTTTCATGGACGTTTTTCTCTAAACCGAAATAACTCCGCGAATATCGATGCTACAGGGATGAAACACATACCATTCTGTAGCTAAGAAGGAGGTTGTTTTATATCAAAAAAAAAAATACCTTGGTAGAAAATCGCGAGCTAAGTCAAAAAAATGTAAAAAATGCACAAAACTTCTAAAAATAAAAATATCACACCGATGATCCGGTTTCGAAAGTTTAAACTGGGTCACTCGTGATATCCAGGTGAAACCGGATTATTAAATCGGGTTCTAATCCCTAATTTAGACCTCCTAAAAAAAAGATCAAATTTACTTGAATAAAGTACAGAATTACAAGAACAGAGGGTTAATTCGATCCTTTTTGGGACAAAGGAAAAAAAGGGCAGTGACATAATACAAACAATAACACACCCAAATAAGATGATTCAGAAAGTACTATAAGTTCATAGTGGGTGATTTAAAAATTATGAGTTATTAAATATATTTGTTAACATCAAAGCTTATTATCAATAAATTTATCTACTAATGTTTCTGTAATTTATGGATTTACATTGCATATATATTCAAAGAAAAAAATAATAAACCATTTTCCAAGGAACAATAGAGTTATACAAATTTTTACAACGATAATAGATATTAACATCAGAAAATTTTTAAAATGGAGGTTTTCATTTTCAAAAATTTCTGATGGAATTAAAACCACTAGCCATTAACTTATGGAGGTTAATATTTTTTGAAATATTTTGAAATTCTATAGCCAATAACTTGTGAAGATAAATGTTTTGAATATTTTAGCCATAAACCTTCACAAGTTTATCAAAATATTATTAATTTTCACAAGTTAAGGAGATTTTCGAAAACAGAATATTGCGAAATCCTTCATTTTAAAAAATTTTCAGATAATTATTACTTCAGAAATGAATGCATAAATTTGAAGCCATTCAATACTTGAATTGTTATAAAAGTTTAATCAGGTATTGCAGATATTAGTTTGAAAGCAAATTGAAGAAAAAATCATATCTATGTAAAAGAACAAAAAATATATACTCTATTTAATGGTATTTTTAAGATAGAAATAATAGTTTGAATTAGATTCAAAATTGGGTTGAATATAAAATTATTTTAATTATTATTCAGTATTAGTAATATAATAAATAGACAGACTTGGATTCAGTATCTGAAATCTGTAAAAATAATTGATCCAACGATTGGCTTCCAAATTTGTTTTCAAATAATCACAGTATTTTGATTTTTATAAGTAATGTCATTTTCAGAACCATCTTTACCCTTAGGCTTATCCTTTGACGAAGAGCCCACTTATGGGACGGCAAATGTAGTTAAAATTTTATAACACCAAGGAGTTAATTGCGAAGAAAGAATTTGAAACTTATAAAAACAGATTCGTAAGTAAGAAAATTTCTGGCTAGATATGACTGAAGAGAATTTCCATAGTATCAGATTTGTGCCCAGACCTGCATTAGTACTAATAACTTTTATTACAGATCTCAAAAAATGTAAGTATGTTCAGGATGTATTACAAGCATATATGCTGTTACTAAGGTTCTCCTCCATATAGCAAACACTTCAAAACCACCCACTAGGCTTGCATCTGTCTTTGTGAACAATTCCAACTTACTTATTGAGGAAAATTATACTGTTTAGGCTATCGAGAAATGAAAATAAATCAGAGAAATCATCCTATCAGCCAGCTCTACCTCGATCATGGTCGTCTTCTATCAATGGTACTAAATGGATGAAAAATGGGCATTGATCCAGCAATTGCCGGTCCTCGTCCATCCAAAGATGATGAGATATGAATTTTTTTGATCAAAATTGTGGAAAAAAGAATATGGTTTCCCTTATATGATAAAAGAATGAATGTCATCTGTAAAACAATCCTGGTATTTTTGTTTAATAGCTGGTGATAGTGACCATGATCCTCTAATAGCTAAGGTTCTAGAATATAACTGAGAGGTTGAAATCTGGTTTTGGTTATCAGGTATAAAAGTTTTAAGTCATATATTTTTTTATTTATATGAAATATCTATCTATTTCTATAAGAATATCTGGATATCTTAAGTCAAAAGGGACTTTATTCCTTGGATAATTATTATAAATACTTTACATATACACTTGGACCTAATCTTAAAAAAATTTTGCTCTTGGAGGAATGGAATTGCTATAAATAAATAATATCTGAAGAAATTACAAACTGCTTTTTCATTTGTAGTTTTCTTTGATAAATCAATTAATATAAAAAACTTACTAAATTTATGTATTTCTTTATCAATATTTATTATATTTTGAAAAAAAAAAATTTTTGTTTATGTTGATGTGACTTTTTATAATAAAATTCTTGTGTCAATAATCTTATTCAAGTAATGACTTTTTTAAATAACTTTTATAATTTTGTCTTTTGGTCATTTGTCATTTATAATCAATGATAAATGCGACCTGTAAGTATTTGAATATCCTGAATTGCTCTTTCGCGATCATTTTCATTTTGTTTTTGTTTTGTTTCACTTGGAAAGTAAAGCTTTAAAAAATTCATTAACGATACATCCAAATTACCTGTGAAAAAAAGAATATAAAAATTTTAGTTTTTAGATAAGAAATTATAATTTTTAAGATCAAGAAAAGAAATTAGAAAAAAAAAGTACTTGAATCAGCATTAAAAATTGCATTTTCAGCTCGGCATATAGGACAATTTTTTATTCCTTTACGTCCAGCACTGATGAGGCATTGAATGCAAAATACATGTCCACAACATAGTCGAATTGGTTTCCACTGAATTGCTATAAAAAAGATTACAAAAGAATTTCTATTAATTAAAAATAATAAAGATGAAAAGTTGAACAAAAAACTTACCCATGCATACAGGACATAAATAATCTTCCATTTGAGGAATAAACGAAGTTAATTTCTCCTAAAATGAATGATATTATATGAACAAGATTCAATGAATAAAATGTAATAATATATAATATGCAAACATCAAATTTTCAACTTACTGTCAAATCATTGTAAAAGCTTTTAAATATCATTTTGGTAAGAAATAAATCATTTTTCATAAGGCTCTGGAAATTTGAACTGGCACTATATAATTATATACAGTTAAATATATTCAGTTAAATATATAATCATCAGTTAAATATATATACAAAAGTTATAAAATGTGTAGGACGTAAATAACTTAAATAATTTTATAGTAGTTAAAACTTACTTCAAACACGATTTTTTATCATGCTTTTTCAAGATTTTAGACATAATAGTTTTATTCATTTGTTGAAAATACTTCATTACAACAAGCTTATGATTGAGCTGAAAGATTATATCAAAAATATTATCATGAGAATATGTAAAAATATATATACACGTGATTATAGATCAAAATACCTTTAAGAATTCTTCCAAAATGGTTTTGGACGAAGGCTCCTTTAATTTGTTTGACTGAAAAATAAAGAAAAACATAAGGTTTTTATAAATATATATGCACAATATATATACCAAAAATTGTAAATGAAAATTTATCTATAATTACCAACTTTAATATATTCAATTCTTCATTAAATTTATTTAATTTCTTCTGAGCCAATTCCCAGCCTCTCTCTTTTCTATCAATTTCAATATTTCCAATAAAAATTTCGGCAAGAATATACTTTTTAAATATTTCTCGCCAAACATACAAATCCTTTTTATATGGGGATGTCTAGAAAAATGAAAAATCATTAATATAATCTTTACTAATTTGGGAGATTGCAAAAAAAAAAAAAAAAACAATTTGTTACCGTGTCAATTAACAAAGTTCTTAATTTTTTAAATTCATTACTGAATTGTTCTTGATTTATTTGTTGAAGGTGATTCAATTGGGATATTTCTTTCAAAAGATTGTCAAAGAATTCACGTTCAACACAAAGTGTTCTTTATTATCAAAAAGATTAAATTGATATTAATCATTAATTCTAATGAAATTAAAGAATGACGGTTACTTAAATTAGAGTTGACGATATATACTTTTTGAGATTTTCAAGTACTTCTTCTATGCGAATTACAGATTCATCATTATGACTAGGTAAATGCTCCATAAAATCATCAAAATCAACAACTTTTGCATCATAACATTGAGAATCATCTGAGATATATGAACATAAAGATATGGGATCATTTTCACATTTAGAAAGTGAACTTTCAGTCGGATGGATAAAGGTGGATAATTGAACTTTAGGAGGAGTCCATTTATGATCTCTCTCTCCCCCCTCAAAATCAACATTGATGCAAATACGAACATGATTATTATCATCTAATTAAAGAAAATATATTAAATTATTAAATTAATTATTTTATATTATTCAAATTATTGTAATATTATCTTTAAATTTGCGATTAGTTTTTACCTTTGAATGAATATTCAAGTTTAAAACCATAGACAGCTTTAAACTTTGTTTTCTCGATTTCTTGAGGCATTCCAATTTCACTCAAATCATGTTCAATTTTATGGATGATTTTTTTTAAATGCTTATATTGAATGAGAAATGGTCTCCATTCAGAAGGAATTTCATATATGTCGTGATTTAAAGTCTTGCCGAATTTCATGTTGATAAAAAAAATGTTTATGGAGAATTAGATAAATAAAAATTTATTTTGAAAATAATTCGTAAAACAATATGATGACTTTTTATAGAGTAAAAAATAGTACTACACAAACAATTTGTCATATTGTCACGTCCAGACAGTACACTACAGAATTACACAACAAATCAAGTTCTCAGTCTCAATAATAACTTACACTTATTCGTGTATCGCTATACAGTGTAACAACTTAAATAACAACTACAAAATCGTGAGTATAATCTGAAAGGTGTGAGTAAGTGAAGTAGAGGTAATTTTCCCTACGTATACTATCAGTGTTAGAACAGATTTATAAGAGATAAAACGTTTATTTACAATTGAACAGTAAAAGAAAATTTTATTA